TATATAAATTTTAATTATAATTTATATATTTAAATATAATATTTATTTATATATAATTTATTATAATTTTACCTATATATAATAAACATTTAATCAATTAAATACACATACTAAACTCGTTCTTCTATAATTTTTTTTTATATTATTGTATTTATGTGTAGTTGATTAATTTTGAATAAACTATATTATTAAACAATAATACTAATTGAATTTAAAATATAAAATGTCATGCTTAATCTTTAAAAGCTGTAATATATTAATATCAAATCCAATATAGTTTTGGTCGTCCTCAAAGAGAAAATTCAATATACCACCCCAAAATTGACAATTTAAAAAAAAGAATGTACAAATGGGACCTTTACCACATATGATAACTTGATTGACTCTTTCTTCAAAGGCGGTAATAAAAAAAACTTTTGGTGATATGATAAATGGAAGGGTCACTAGTCGTGGAATTGGGATGGTGGCAATAATATTGAAACAAGTGCATTAGGCCACAAAACACCTTAAATTGGGTTCATCATTGATCCACCCAATAACAGATAGTTGGCCTTGTTAATTAACACCATTGTAAAAGGATATATGTTCAATGTGCTTCATACCTAGGATATGTAATGGAGAAATTTTTACACCATCCTGCATATTAAAATTTAAATTAAGGACCATACTTATCACGAGCTTAATAAATTTATTATTTTTTTTATGAATGAGAGAAATTTGATTAATGAGTCAATACAATATGTATATGCCAAACATTAAATAAACTCAACGAGTTTATTCCATGTTGTTAATTTCAATATTAACCTAATTGTTAAAAGATAATCATTTATTTATTACTTATATTCCTTTGACACCAAAATAATAATCCATAAAATAAGTGAATATTACTTATATTACTTATCACGCGAAAGGATTTATTTATAAGAATGTTATCCAAAACCCATGTATGCGCAATTGATGTCATGTATTGTATATTCTCATTTGTTTTTTAAATGTCTCATTTTTATTTATTGATTAAAATTTTATTATATTGCTTTTAATTGATAAAAATTTTTGGGTTGATTTTTTTTTTTTCCGGAGAGACATGGATTTAGCTGGCAATTATTAATTGAGACTTAAGAGGATGGCATATTAAGAAAGACAATATTTATTATTTTGAATATTAATTATGTTTCTAATTACTAAAATTATATAATCATTTAAGTTGAGTACGAAGAGATAGAATTTTTTTTGTTCGATAATAATACGTGGTGTGTTGTAGCATACGCATTAATGATGTGGTATTGAATAATAATCCATGCGACTTCAATGAGAATGTGAAGTATTTAAGGGAAACATGTGGGCTAAACTTTTTTGACCATGAGTTAATGATAAAAAGGTGAAATTGAATACTAAAATGTTTATCCACAAAAATTTGCAGTGACTCGTCAAGAATGGATAAGATCAGACATGGCTGAATTATTGACATAACCTGCGTCAAAATATTATCAGGATCACATGAAAGCTATGCACTAATACACGAGATAATGCACTGATTCTGTAGGTGTGCATGTTTGTTTTTTCTTTAATTAGAACCCGTGATCTTTCAATTTTAAACACGACCTCTTTTTATTACTGGAAAAGAAAGAGGAAAAGAGCAGAAGAAATGATTCGAAAATGTTCTGTTCCTTTTCTAAGCTCAATTCGTCATCATTAGTTATACTAGTACATTTTTTCAAATAAATTATTTTCAACTTTCTAAATTTATTTTACAGAATATAAAATCAGTTGGTATTAAAAAAAGGTTACTTTGTAGAAAGAAGTCAGACACGAAATCAATCCGCTATTTAATAAAAATTGATCAACAACTGAATTCATCTCATTCTTATGTAGTTAAAAAAATTTAATCCAGTTTTGAGAGACGGGTATATCCATGGACAAACAAGGAAAATACACCGAAACTTTTTGAATGCTTAGATTAAAAAACTATTGAAACTGCTCTTGAAATACAAGGAGACACAAGCCCAACAATAAGCCCAAATCCCATTCGGGTGTTATTCGTCTCCCTTTTCGAAAATTAGCATGGAGGGGAGATGTTTCTCCGACCAATCACAACACTCCATGTCAAAGATCCATACACCCAAGCTCTGTTGTTTCAGCAAGGAACAGAGCTAAACAATTTTCTTCTTTTTGTGCCACATAATCAAACAGGTTGCTTGTAAGCATCGATTCTTAATGATAAGATACAACACAAACATCCTGCTTGTAAACATCCATACACCCTTTTTATGTATGCCCATAAATTAGTCTTGCTCTCTCACGGTCCTATATCACTTGCGTCTAAGAGATAAAGCATAAAAACATACATTCTTGGATATAACACTATTCTTTTCACTCCATTTCTCAGCTTTATATTTAATCTCTGTCAGTGATGGCTAACAATTCAGCAACCAATGAGAACCATGAGGTGGTTTTAAACGTAAACGGTGAAGACTACAATAAGTTTGAGGACTCGGCCATCCGAGTCTCTGTGCCTCTTTTCCAGAAGGTATCTCTCTTATTCCCTTCTCACCTTTCCCATATCCAAAAAAAATGCTAAGTTTGCCAACCCATATGGATTCCAAGAAATGCATTAATTGTTATCAAAATTCAAACATTTTTTTTAGTATCCATGAAGTGTACATAGTATGACCTTTAAAATTAAATTTATCATTATGTTGAGCTAGAAAATGACAAGGAAAAGGTGTATATATATGTTGCATGTAGTTTGTGGCAGAGGTGGTGGGAACGTACTTCTTGATATTTGCAGGGTGTTGTTCAGTGGTGGTGAACCTTGACAATGAGAAGGTGGTCACACTTCCGGGGATTTCAATTGTTTGGGGACTCACTGTTATGGTGTTGGCTTATTCTCTTGGTCACATATCTGGTGCTCATTTCAACCCTGCTGTCACCCTTGCTCATGCTTCTACCAAAAGGTTCCCACTAAAGGAGGTTGGTGTTAGTGAATCAATTACACCCTCTTTTCTCATTTGCTCAAATATAATGTCTCATTTTCATTATAGTTTCTTAGGCGTTTATGATTGGTTACCATACTTCTTTTCCAAACAAGACACATAAGGGTCTCAAATTTTATTAATTTTTCCTTCATCTTATGTTGTAGGTACCAGCTTATATTGTAGCTCAGGTCCTTGGATCCACACTTGCCAGTGGAACTCTCAGACTTATATTCAGTGGCAAGAATGACCATTTTGCAGGAACACAACCAGCCGGTTCTGACTTGCAAGCTTTTGTGGTTGAATTCATAATCACTTTTTATCTCATGTTCGTCATTTCTGGAGTTGCCACCGATAACAGAGCGGTAACCATTCTTTCTCTAGTTCAAAAGAAGAAAAAATATTGCTTGTTTGGTGATGGTTAGGTCTTATTTTCTGTTGAACATTTTGAATTTAGCAAATAGGGGTTGGCATATCTTCTTGCCAACCCTTTAGGCTTTCCACACAAAAAATGGTTACCTAAATTGACTAACTGTATAAAGACTTTAACTTTACATCACTAGACTAGACCCATCACTCATACAATGTGTAATTGTGTATATTAATCTATATTTGAACATTCTTTAGCCCTATTTCATAGCTTTTGTTAATTCAAATTCATTCATTTTAAATTCTGCAGATTGGTGAGTTGGCAGGACTTGCAGTTGGGTCTACAGTACTGCTAAATGTGATGTTTGCGGGGTATTAACTTCTCTTAAAACCTAATAGATTATACCCCTTTATTGCAAGTTTTAACATCAAGAATATTGTTGACATTATTCATTATTAATTATTCTTGACAGGCCAATTACAGGAGCATCAATGAATCCAGCAAGAAGCTTAGGGCCTGCTATTGTGCACCATGAGTACAGAGGAATATGGATATATTTGGTGTCACCAAATCTTGGAGCTATTGCAGGTACATGGGCCTACAATTTCATCAGGTACACAGACAAGCCGGTGCGTGAGATCACCAAGAGTGCTTCTTTCCTCAAAGGTGTTGAAGTTAAGTGATTCATCACCAAAATGCAATAACATATGTTCCTTTTTCCTCATTTTCTTATCTTCAAGTTCATGCATTAGGGTTAAAATGTAAGGATCTAGTTCATACATTAGTGTTAAAATGTAAGGAAGGGCCACTAGTTTAGAGTGGCATATAACTTACTAATACAATTATACTCTCATTGATATTTATTATAAGAAAAAAATAATTCAAATAACTAATTTATCAAATTTAAGAAAAACTAGTTTTTATTTTTTTCATATCAATAAATTTGTCTTAAATATCTACCTCTTTTCAAAACTACTCCTAAATTAATGAGATACTTAATATATATATATATATATATATATATATCTAAATAAATAACTATTTATAATTTAAAAGACTTATAGAATTCCACTTATTTGTTAAACTTAAAAAAATATTTAATAAGGATATTTTTGTCATGTAAAAATTAATGTTTAAAACAATAAATTAAGTCTTGTAAAAAAGATCAAACTAATTTAAAATTTTGGATCATATGACATGATAGAGCAATAAAAAATAAAATTATACTCTTTTTATTGGTCATTTTACTTATCTTAAAGTAAATTTATTCATAACTATCATCAACATAACAATTAAAGTTGTATTTATTTTTATTTTGAAATATAGTTCGATTTAACATTTTACTCGAGTTATAGTGAAGTATTTGATTAACTTGAAAAGCGTGCCAACATAAAAGCACACTAAAAGTGTGTTTGTCATTGAGTTATGTTTAATATAATTTGTGATTAATTCAATGAGCCAAAAAAATTACTTCTACATTTTATGCATTAAAAATAAGTAAATATTTATTTAATACCTTTCAAATGATAAATCAAACGCACACTAGGTCAATATAAGAAGATAAAAGTACATTTTTAGTTCATTAATCGATGTAAGTATTATTTGTGGAATTCATTATATCAAAATTAAAATATTACTGAATAATCATTTTAAATTAAACAATGCAAGATAAATAGTAGTTTATTTTTTTTAATATATATTTGCGTTAAAAATTGGATGAAGACCTAAAGATAACGGAATAAGGTGTATGAAAGTAAAATGTCAAATTCCATAATTATATATTAGACTTAATTGCATTTTTGATCCTTCAAGTATTGCAATTGTGCAGTTTTGATTCCCGAGATTTTAATTGGGTAATTTTAGTCCCTAAAGAATTGCAATTGTGCGATTTTGATCCTTCAATTTTTAATTGAACAATTTTAGTCCCTCGAATATCATAATAGTGCGATTTTAGTCTCTCCCATTAAAAATTTAATAATTTTAATATATATATATATATATATATATAATGTTTTAAAATTAAACAATTATTTATCTATTCAAATTAATGTATATTATAATTTTCGATATTATATCAAATGATATATATTTATTTTTATTAAATAAATAAAATTTATATATTATTATTTTTATAATATTATTGATAAATTAATATCAATAATATTATTAGTATATTTAGAGATAAACTAATAATTTAATAAACTAATAATTAAGGCTATATATTAAAGTGTTTTTGAGCAAAATATAATTTTATCCTCTAAGTTAAGAAATGGTAAGGAAGTTGGTGATGTTACTTGTTAGAAAGACTTTCAAGAAATTGTGAAGCACTAATACTTTTAGGTATAACTATATTACGACAATTTCCGTGAAGCACCTATACTTCTAACAACCTAAACTTGCTTTCACCAACACAGACGTCTAAAATATTCCTACACAATTATTCATTCCATCGTTATGACTATAATACGCTGAATTCGGAGATCGGAGTGTCAAAATTGGTAAGATAAACAAACAGTTCCACCGTCCTGAACAAAGTTGCTGGCTAAAATGTATAGAGAATCCGATTAGTTCATATGGGAATTAGTTTAATATATCTTGTTAATTAAATTTCGTTAAGAGTTTCTGAAATTAAGAAGAAAAAAATTACTCAAAGCTATTATGCACCTTAGACAGGGAGATTCTAATTCTAAGCTGTATAGACGTGTGTTAATGTTAAGAGATCTCTCCATAAAGGATTACCCAAGTAAAATTTTAGTAGCATTAGAAGAAATTAAATCCGCATCCATAAGCATCGACTTCATGCACCATATATTGATGCAAGATCTACGAATTAAAAAATACAATTCGCAGAACTCAACTCAAAAATATATTTTCTTTGTTAGCACAGCAATTGGTAAGCTAAAAAAATTTCCATTTCTGGCATTTTAATACAAATTACACTATACATAGCGTGCTATTCAGAATGTACAAAGGAAATTCAACAGGAAGAGAATTAAAAAAAAATAAAAAAAATTAGGTGTTAGGATGCCTCAGTAAACAACAGTTAGCGTGTCAACACATGCTAGGTTAAACTGTTAGACAACAACCTTACTTCCATTATTATAATAATGCCTGGGAAAGGAGTAGTCTCAACTTTGTGCCTGAAGACTGTTTAAGGTTGAAGGACCACGGGAAGAAGCCACCCTTTGCCTTGTTTTCGGAATTATTACAGGCCTACAACACACAAGAGCAAAAAGTAACTCCGTGAAGAATGCCATCATGGCGACCCATATAAATATGCTCATCTTCCAAATCCAAATAATCCTCTTGAATAAGGGAAGTTCGGATTCAATAATCATAGATGCATCATATATTTCAGGAATGCATGCACCTGGTAGA